TTGTATTATTAAAAATATAATAATCAAGAATTTTTATAAGTGATTAATTATGTTCCTCTACTTTCTTGAATTTAAAAATGATGATCAAGTATACGAAAGTTAACAAGGAAGTACATCAAGAATCTTATAAAGGAATCAAAATTCATTTTTCACCAACTCAAACAAAATTCTTAAAAGTAAGAATTCAAAAAAACATATTTTCATATCATTTATATTCTAACATATCATTATTTTTTCAAAAATGTCATTTCAACTTCTATTTATTAAGTGCATCAAATGTAATATGAGTGATTAGAATGTCTTATGTGATTCCTAGAATCACACTTCCAGCCTATTATGTGATATGGTTTAAATGATTCATCTCCAAACACATCACATATCTTGACGTGATAAGAAAATTTTCATCATATAACTTGATGTAATTCAAAAGATCACATATCTTAATAAATCACAAAACATTTCAGCACATATACTAATGTGATTGAAAAAATCTCCTCTCAACAATTAAAATTTCATCTACATTGATATTTATAAATAATATCTTATCTACTTTTTCTCTTATGAATCCTTTTGTTAGGAAGAATTTACTAAGATAGTTAACAAAACTTAGGGACTGCTTTAAACTATTTAAGGTTTCAATAAGTTATAAACATGATTAGGAAGACATCGATAGAGATCAAGGTGGCACAAATCATCATAGGCCATATGGAAGCTCAAAGAAACATAAAAGCTAATAACCACATGAGGGATCATGGCTACATACACTTAAGGGTTCATGGCCACAAAGGAATCATAGTTATGGCCACAAAGGAATCATAGTTATGTGTGACGTCCTGATGCCAAATAGGGAAACCAAAGTGCAACATAGCAAACATAATAAAAATATTTACATTGTAGTAAAACTATATATCCATATAAAGTTTATAAAAGACTATATACTGAGGCCCAATAGGATATCTACATTTCAAAATACAAAATACTAGCCACAAGTTTAAAATAAAATACGGAATTTGCTCCAAACTACACTTCCCGAAAGGAATCTAAACATGGCTCTCCAGTGTTTTCCTCTAAATCTGCATTGAGGGAGAGTTAGATTTAGGTTAGTTCTAATACTCAGTAAGATAGAATGAAATAACGCAATATATATATGTTTCAAAATCTTTATTGATGCATACTTAAAAAATAGGAGTTCTCAATTTAATTAACAAATAAAATCAAATACCATAGTCAAATCTCATAATCAATATTCATATCCAACTCAAATGTTCATCTCATATAAATTGTTATGAGGACGTTCAATACCGTACTCGATAGGTCTACACAACTCATGCACCCAGAACCAAACTCATTTTCTGGCATAGTTTTAATTATCAGTTATTATCTTAATTGAAATTACACTGATTATAAACTTATACGCGCAACCGCCTATACCTATTTCCAAAAAGGGCAAACAGGATACCAACTAGTTATGGGTGGGTACACAAATATTTACAAACATACAGTCATAAATAACAAATACAAATTTAATTCTCTCATGTCTCTCCGTGTCGCCATCATTCATGCTCTTGGGCCCCAAAACATGAATATCAAATCGTCCTTAAAGACAAACAGGATACCAACTAGTTATGGGTGGGTACGCAAATGTTTACAAACATACAGTTATAAATAACAAATACAAATTTAATTCTCTCATGTCTCTCCATGTCGCCATCATTCATGCTTTTGGGCCCCAGAACATGAATATCAAATCGCCCAAAGTCCTTAAGGACAACTGAACTACATGTCCCATTAAGGAACCAAAACTAGAACCCATAACATAGTGGCTCCTAAATAAATAAGCAAACCAAATACCCATAGAAAGAAATATAGTGTGTCATATTTAAACCAGACTCTGTGTAGATTTAAATTTTTTTACTTTTATTTTATTTAGTTAAATTCTTACACTTTATTATTTTTCCCTAAATTCATAAATTTTATTATAATTCTAAAAAATTAAAATCTTAATTCTTCTGAATATTTTAATTTATTTTATAACTTGTGAATTTTCTTATTTTTTATTTAAATCCTGATATTACTAAGAGAATTTAATTATTTATTAAGTATAATTTTTATCCTTACTAATTTAAACCATTTTATCCTTATTAACTAACTCATTTTATCTCAAATAATTTCCATAATCCCAAATTTTAAAAATTTCCTTTTTCTTTTAACTCTGCCCGTGTCTAAGGGGCATTTCCAAACTGTTATCGGTGTCCATCAATGTCCCACGCATGCTCGCTAGCTGCAGGATAGCACACGCCCTGCAGCAACAGCATCTTGGTCCCGCATGCTTGTGACAGAACCATTCGGTTCAATTCCTTTAAAATTATTTTCTACTTTCTTTGTTTTCTAATCATCAATCACCAACACCCATTCGCTCTATTCATTCATGCATCAAAAATACC